TCACAAGTCTGTCTAGTGGAAATCCTTGCTAGACAACACAATTGGGTTTGTCATATGTCATTCATTATAAGAATGTGTCTGCCAGGGTAAAAGTTGTTTATGCAATTTAATACTCTTTTCTAGTCAAGCATTAAAAGTTCAAGAAGAGTAGGAAAATAGTAAATTCTGAAGATTTCATGGAAAAGGCTTTGGAACATGTTGAAGGCTTAGAGATGGGTCCCAACTAGCCATAACTAACAGTTCAGCATTTACTTCTCCAGTTGTCAGTATTCCTCAGTCCCTTTTCTCATACCTGACAACCAGATGCACTTCCATCGGCCTCCCATAGCTACTCCAGGGAAATGGATATGGGAAAGGGCGAGGAGAAAGCTTAAGCTACAATAATGCCATAAAAGCAGTTGCTTTTCTCAAAAGACTAAGATACAGACCGCGTGTACATAAGAAACATTACTTATTAACTAACTATGAAACACCTGTAACTGCAATTGTTTCCACTTAATCCCAGAGCCACAGATATCAATCTCACGAGGTTTTTTGCCTGGTAGTTACTATGAAGACAAAGAGTTCATTTCACCCTGTGATGAAAGTGTACACACACACACACACACACACACACACACACACACTACTGTCATCTTTTTCACTCTACTGTACAAGCTAAATACTCTAAAACATAAACACTGTAGGCAATAATTCTCATTGTGCTTTATCTGAACACACTAAACTCCATCTAAGATGTTTAATAGTGTTTACAAAATATTGAAAACCTGGCTTGGTAATTTTAATTAATATTTATTTACTTGCTGTGCTGGAAGGTTTTCCAGGGCCTCATATATCAGGCAAACACTGTACCTCTCAGCTTTCTCCCCTGCCCCTGAACTATAAATTCCATATGTATGTATATATATATATATATGTCTTGTTTCAAACTGTAATGTCAACAATAAAAGTTGTCTTTTCCTAGAGAAAAACTGCTGTCATTGATGGTAATTCATCTTCTTTTCCTTTTCTTCTCCTCCTCCTTTTTTTTTAATGTTCTTCTTCCTTCTGCCTCAGATCCTGAAATTAGAAACCTGAGAGTCATAGAGAAAAACTGACATAAGAAAAAGATGGACAGTCAGGACTAAACAGAAAAATTCTATCTTTGAAAACCAAAAGAAAAGAAAACGGAAAAGAAAATGAAAAAGAAAAAGGAACAAAAAGAGAAGATTAAAATATCAACAGTGATGGATAGAGAATGACAGTGAACTAAGAGAGAAGGTGGAGATACATTCATCCTGTTAAAACAAAACAAAACAGGAAGGATTTTGATTTAGGGCATTCATAGCACTTGCACTCACAGAGTCTAGGACGGATTTGTTTGACTGGCCTGGTCTCAGAGCTGCTAGGCTAAGCCAATGAGATAGAGGGGTGGTGTAGACAAGGACAATATCCATTGGAAGTTCTGACTTCCAAAATATATGGTGCTCCTCTGTGGTGCTTCAAGTTGCAGCTAGTTTTCCCTAAGATATTTTAATGAGAAAACTGTAGGGAATTCGCACCTACCAAATTCACTTGGGGGGAGGGGGTCCTGCATGTCCATTTATTGAGTACTTTCTCTAAACAACTTCTAAAATTAATGTCATTTTCCATCTGTAAGGAAAGAGTCATAGACAAGAGCCTAAGGAACAAGTCTCACCTGGATCCTGTTTTGTCAAAGCATCCCAGGCTCCTGAGTATTTTGGAGAAAATCTGATATATCTAATGTGACTCCAAACATATTACACTATTGTTTCACGTTCAGGTAAGCCTGAGCCCCAATTATGTCCTTGGGCTTGAACTTTTCCTGGCTAAAGTCTATCAGTATTTCTATGACTCATTTAGAGGTGTATCCAAACTGCAAATGTTTCACGGCTAAGTAAACACCATTGAACCACAGGAGCACATTGAAGACTACGTAGGCAGGCTGGGTAGAGACGATCTTGGTGCAAGTTTCACAGACTGTGATAAAATCTAAGCTGTTTGTCACACTTTCCAAAGCCTCCTGAGTAGTCATGAAACACAGAACTAATGCTCTGGGATTTTGTAAACCTAGCTTTGAATTAAACTCCCTGCTAAGTCAACATTTGACACTCATTCACCTTGTGGTTTGTCTTGATCTCCTTGATACTTAAAGATAGAATGTGTAAGAAAACTCTACTTTACGTGAGTTTGTATGTTCGTTAGTGTCAAATAGCTTCACAATTTTCAATTGATAATTTAATCATTTTCCTAGTCATTCAGTTTGCAATTTCATACACTTGGAGACACTGATTCAGTTTTTGCTTATATCCATATGAAAACAATGGGGGAAGATGGAACTGTGATCTTGCTTTCTTAAGAACATTAAGTACACATGATGTTTATTCCTGATTGCTTTTCAATATAGTCAGATGTTTCTGGTTTGCCCCCATGTTTTATAAACTTTTGTCAAGAAGCTGCTGATATCTTATTACATTTATGTTCTCAAAGATAGCGTAATCCTTTCTATATTGATTTTGAAGGAATACATCTATTAAATAAAAGCTTTTCTTAAAATTACCTCATATAAGTTTTAAAATAATTCTTGAAATATTGTTTTTGACTTGTTGAATTCAACTTCTCAATGTGTGAAACAGTAGTCAATTTTATTATACATCATCAAATAATAGTTGTATTTTCTCTAAAGTGTAGTGGCATTGCATCTAAATTTAATAAGGAGAAATTGCTATACATCATTTAATATTTTAGGCGACAATGTTAGAAACATATTCTCTTACCAATATTAAATGCATATAATTCAATTATCCGTACGTACCACATTGTGCCATTAAATTTTAAACAAAAGTCAAACTATTCATCTGATTTGACTTAGTTTCCATCACATTCCAGCCCCTACCAGCCACCTTTCTAATCTCTGTTTCTCTGAGAAAATTGCTTTTATTTTTATAGGTAAGTAAAGATATAGAACATTTACTTGTTTGCTGTAGGCCTATTCCACTCACCCATGGTGCTCTCCACGTTTGTGAAAAAGTCAGACATTTTTTCTTCTGTAAGTCTGGAAAGTATATACAAAAGAATTTATGGTTTACTGTCCCAAATCTGTGCACATCTTCCTGGGTGGTTCACGATGGCTATGACTGACGACACCTAGGTGGATTGGCTCTTATGAATATTGGAACAAGGAATATGAAAAGACAGAGATCTCCTGACCTCACATACTTTGGGTAGTTATTCAGAGAGGGATTTGGGGGTCATATGTTAATTTTTATCTTTAGTTTATAAAGTTACTTCATATTGTTTTCCGCAACAGTTGTACTAAATTGTTTCATCTCCCACAGTGTGTGCATTCTGAAGGCAAGTTTTTCCTTCTTTCTTTTTGGTATTAACCTTTCAACAGCTTTGAAGTGTTATGCCCCTGTGGCTTTCATTTGGATGGCTCAAGGGATGAGCGATATGAACCATTTTTTCAGCATCTCTTGCCCATCATTCATTTGAGGGAATCTAATCAGGTCCTTTGTCCAGTATGTACTTGGGTTAGGTGTATACCACAGAGATAATCCACTTCAAAATGCAGACCATCAGAGACAGGTGAATACTGCAATGATTATGAACATTTTTTTAACTTGATTTCTATATCTCAAATATATGGCAAAAATCAGACAGTCCTGACTATTGGACACTTTAAGTTGTGTCTACATAGACACAAAGAAGATGCTCCTGTGCAATCACTAACTCTGGCAACTCTCCTTCTTAGGTCCTACTTAGCAGGGATTGTCTTTTGTAATCTAGAGGTGTTTCCCGCGACAGCTTTGATAAGAATTTAAAGATTCTATTTCATTTTGGAAGGCAACTGTGGAAGTACACAGGAAACAAATTGCACTCAAGGGTCCCTCACACAGTGACACCTACTGGGCTGAAGCACACAGTAATTTTTTTTTTTTTTTTTAAAGCAAGCTCTGCTCAGTTTACAGGGAGTGAAAGTCTTTTCTTTTGATGTTCAATCATTTAATTCACTATGGTCAGAAGAAGTACCCCCCTTCTATGCACACACAGATCAATGTCACTTTCACAGCTTAACGAGTTTTCCTGAAAGCAGAGCTGCAAATTACTCGCCGGTGTGTAGATTTATGAGCCCCAAAGTGTTGGGATGATTAGAAACAGTATTCTTGAAAACAAAACAAGAAAGTGAAAATTCTTACAACTTATGTTTTGTGAGTGTCCCGGAGAGGAAGTTGCTGGATCTGATTCCTCGTGGAAAGGTCAGCATAATTACTGATTTCAGGACATTAGGGAAACGCAGCAGGAAACAATACTCAAAAGATTACACTTCTGGGAAAGGGGAGTACGTTTCTCCCTCTAGCTTAGAAATTTTGCTGCAGAGTAAAGATCTGTGCCCTTTTAAAACGGTAACTCTTTGCCTTAAAAGGATGCAGGGATCTTTTGGCAAAACAACTGCTTTGCACTCGGATATTTACAGCCTAGCCAAGCCTGCATGCTTTCCAACAGGCGCGCATAACAAAACCGTCTGAGCGCGCCCAGATAGGTTCACTGTGAAAGGTGGTGTTACTGAGAAGAGTCTAGCCTGCAGCAGAGCCTTCCCGCCCAGAGGCCAGCCTGTGCTCCGCCCTCCGGCTCGGGGCCACCGGCGGCCAGGCGCTCCCTGGGTGGGGCGGCGGCCCGTGCAGATGCGGCGGGCCACGCGGGGCCGCTGCTGCAGCCGGCTGGGCGGTGCGCCCGGGCAACCTCAGCCGCGCGCCGCGTCGCTGTAATCAGACACCGAGCGCTCGCCCCCGGCGCCCGGCCACTTGCCATTCACTCCGAGGTGCGGGGTTCAGCGACGTGGAGAAGGGCTCCGGGTGCCACCGCTCTGCCGCCCCGGATTCTGCTACAAAGAAACTCAGCACCGCCGGCAGGAATCCCACCCTCGGGACTCTAAGTCTTTAAAGGTCTTGTAGGGAAAGGACCTGAGAGACGAGGAATCCGAGCCCGGAGCAAGTGGCTCATTTCTCCTGGATCTTTTCCCACCGCGGTAAGCCGGACTCAGATTTTCAGTCTTACTCAGTTAGCGAAATTGAACTTTTCTGGGTCTCTGTACAGACTTTTTTTTTCCTTTGGTGTACTCAAGTCTGGGCATTTTCTTAGGAGCCCACGAGGCTCCTGAGGAAAGCGCTCCCGGAGGAAATGAGCCTGGCTGGAGGTTGTGGCACCTGCCAAGAGTTTAAGTTCCTCCAGTGCCTTCTAAGGGGAAAACAATCGGTGGGAGTGAAATAAAATAATTATACTCTCATATTTGCTGATAATAGACGACCTCTAGCAATCACTTTTAAGTGTGTGAGTTAAAGGGACGAAGTTGTAAAGGACGTGGGTGGGGAGATGGCATTCATAGCCCATCACTAGGTGGGACTGAAACCAGGGTGTTCTGTTAGATTCATCAGCGCTATCTGATCTACCATGTCATCTAGGCGGTGTCCTTCATGACTTACGGAGCGTATCTTCTTCAGGGGAGGTATATCGTATAATGTACTGGTAATATCAATATGTAAAAATGTACAAATGTTTCTAACTTGGTTAATAAACAGACTAAGATTGGACATATTAATAGTATCCCTCCCCTCTTGGTTTTAACTACCAAGTCAACAGATCCCAGGGGTAAAATTCTAAGGGAAAGTCACCCATAAAAATCAATTTTCTTCTAAGTTAATTTAGGGATGACAGGGTGAAGAGGTTGTGGAAGCAGGAAGAAACTGTTTCTTTTGAAAATTACCAACACAAACATCTCTAGGGTTTCCTCCATCTGTGTGGTAGAGGCGTAGAGTTTCATGTTGAACTCTTGAAGCATACGCACTACCAATGAGACCAGTTTAGATTTTTCTTTGAGATTGCACGCTCGGTTTAACTGTCCTTTTTCTTCTGTGTCAGAGGAATAGCCTTTTCAATTTTTAACCACATTTCCTTATTGAATAGAATCAATAATGTATTTTCAATTTAAAAAGCCATATAACATAAGCTCTGTAAGGATGAATTTCCAGATTAGACCTGCTTGTCATTTTACCCTATAATTACACTCCATGAGAAGTGGCGGGATTTCTTTCACGGTCCTGAGTTCACTTGGCATGACGTGGCCAGTAGGGCTCATATAGGTTTGTTCTAACAGGACCTGGCCTCTCTTTATACTTAGACATTAGTTAACAGCTTATATTAATTTTATAGCCACAATTTTCAAGCAAGAATATTGTCTCTTTGATTCATTGTTTGAAATTTTGATGGCTCACTCTCTGGTTGATTTATGTAAAATATGCCTCAGTGGATATGAGGCTCCAGTGGATTACTCACCACGAGGTCATTGGTTTAAATTTGGCAGGAGTCCATGGTTACCTCATCTGCATCACTTAACCACTGCCTGGTCATCTACATACATTGGCAGATAACTAATTGAAGTGATTTACTAATCAGGGAAGGAGCACAGGTGGATTTATGTGTGGAAACACTATTTCAGAGGCAATTGATTCAGAAGAGTTAATGAGCATGGAATGAATGAGTACCCATGAATAGAGTCGTGGAATCGACCGTATTTATTAGGGAGAATATTTTCATTCTTCAATACTCTACCAGTATAATTAAATGGGTTCTAGAGATATTGGAATTCTTTGGGGAGAATCAACTAAGTTTTTTCACTGGTGCTTTGTTCTGCTTTGATGTCAGCAAGAACACAGTTTCTTGTTTTATCTTCCCATAAAATGATAGCAGCATCATTTTTATGGGAAGATAAAACAATTGTCTATTGTAAAGACTTCCAGACATAAATAAACCTCAATGCTTCCATTTTAGAAGTAAAGTCATAGCACCTCCTACTGCTTGCTGTCTGCAGACCTTAAGCTGCATTTCTCAAAGCTGTTATCTCTGATTTGCCAAAATGTTAAAGGATATTCCACAAATCTCTTATCTTTCCTTTAAAGGTATTTTCCCCTGGATATTAATTTCCAAATCAGAAGAAATGGCATTCCGGGTGATTTTTGTGTTGGTTGGATTATTTATTTGTTCCATTTGTGTTCAAGGATCTTCTCAGCCTCAAGCAAGAGTATATTTAACATTCGATGGTAAGAACGTTGATAAAACTTATGAAAAATCTTTTGGAGATCTTGTTTTTTTCTTTCTTATCCAGGTGAAATATTGACACATTGATGAGAATACAATCTCTTTATTTAGTTCTCAAAATTTTACCAGGTTACTCTTTAAATGCCATGGATATTTATCATTGGTTAGTGTTTGCATTGGAGGAAGTGTTTATAAAATTGCCTAGAGTGTTTTCTACCTTTTCCCCCCTTAAGTTTCATCTGAGTTAATGTATATTCCAGGGAGATAATAAAGAACACAAAATGTAGCATCTTTTATGTCATCTGGTTGTGCTGGAATGTAGCCTTTCCAAACTTCAGGAATAGAAAGGGCTACATGGGGTTAATAACTCCAGTAAGTTCCAAATATTAGCTTCAAAACTGGAGTTGTTCTAAAGTCTGTTGTTTTTCTTCCTGTTCCAAAAGTATTTCCCATGGTTGGTATGTTTTTTTCTAGTGAGGTGAAAATTGCATAAAAATATTTGGGACAATGCATTGTTTTGTTGTGTAAAACATTTTTTTTCTTAAGCTTAGAAAAGTTATACTTTCAGATACTGATTTATATAAAAAAATGGTGCTTTGAGGGTGTGGTTACAAAGTGTGTACATGGTGTTAGTGTATACTGTTCACATCCATTCTAGATGGGTGGTTGGGTTAGTCATGTAACACTTATTAACTGGACAGATGAAATATGAGCTAGATGAGAAACATCATCTTGTCTTCAGGACCATTTGTGTTTATGTTTCTAAGTTTTACATGAACTCTGTCATTGCATGTGCTTAGTTGCTTTCAATGAGGGTACTCTAAGGCCTTCACATAGGAATTGCAGAAAGCACATTGATTGACACGTATCAGCCTTTTCTCTCCTTCTTTTTAAGTTCTGAAGTGCTCTCCAAAGGTCACCATGAGCACTGGAGAAGCCATATTTAGAGCTTATTGAGTGTGAGCTTTTAATTGCACCCTTAACCTTTGTGCCTGACATTTCCCCTTAAAACCATAGTCATGCTGTTTAGATGTGAAGAACAGGGGCAACAATGACTGCTTTGAAATCCTTCTCTTCTTGAATCATAAAAGCATTTTACAGTTGTTTGTATTTTGTCTCTAAAGTTGAGATTATCAGTGTAGAGTAAGAAAGAGAGAGAAAGAGAGAGAGAGAGAGAGAGAGAGGGAGAGAGAGAGAGAGAGAGAGAGAGAGAGAATATCAAGGAAAAGTATCTTTTTTTTTCTTTTACTGTGGAAGGAGATGAAGACATGGCCTGGTAGACCAGATATCTAAAGCTGGTCCCTTCTATGGCACCAACACACTTCTGTGTAAATGTATTAAACGAGTTATTAGTCACTTAGAATACTTCAACAAATCTGTCTTTAAAGAAACAAGTATAATTTGTATTTTCCAGAAGAAGTTCTGTCTTTTAGATCAAAGTGTCAGTACTCTATAAGAGCATGGTTGCTGGGCCATAGAGAGTGGACATCATTATAGACTTTATATTATTGTATGCTAGTGCTTAAATATTTTAAAATCAAAACAGATCTACAAAAAATATATTGTCCTAATGTGGGTGTTATGTAGACTATGGTATGATAAAATAATCAGCTTATCAATAAATAGTTCCTCACATTTGTTCATCTCAAAATTATTAGGACTCGATAGTTAGAATAGAATATCACATACCATGGATCCATCTCTCTAACTCCAGTACTGATTTAAAAAGATATACTAACAATAATAATCTAAATTAAATTCTTAATTTTTAAGATAATAACTTTAATTACTTCTACAATAAAGTAGTATATAGCAATCAATATGCTATGAAAAATTATATCAGGAAAAGTAAAGTGTACAAGTTTCAATAATTAATTTATGATCATATTCCTAAAACAGTTTACCATTTACCTAATTACCATGGATAAATTTCTTATTATTTAAGATTTCCATTACTTCATAGTAACTCTATTTTAGAATAATGTAAAACAAGTTACTAAGTTTCCTCCAAAAACTTTTTTACTCAGGTATTTGAGATATTGTCTAACACTGTAGCTTATGTGCGTTGGAACCCATTTTGTAGCCCAGTCTAGTCTTGAACTTTAACAATTCTCCTGACATAGCATTATGAACATTGTAATTTTAGCCATGATCTACAACCATCAACTTTTAAAAGTTTATTCTTAACATGAAGTTATAAATTTTATATACAGAGCTGTGGGGTATATATGACTGCATATTTATTTAAACACAGATCTGGGTCTTATTTTATATTTCAAATCTATGGCACTATTTTTGAATCTAAAATCTGGAATTTGAAGGCATTTGAGTAAACTCTTGTTGCATCAGACAGAGGTTAGTTGTTTCACCTGTCTTATGTCTGCAAGCCCTCTTTAATACCTTGTCTGCTTGCTCTTTTGTCTTGTAATCTTCTCCCTCCCTGAACCTGGGTCTCCTGTCTGTCTCTTCTTGTGTAAAACATTATTAAAAACTGTTCAGACTTGTCTTACTTGGACTCCAAGTAAACACCGCTGTCAATGTAAAGGTGTGTGAAAAGAACTACCTTCAGCATCCACATTCCATCCCTTCTTGCAGCGAATTGATGGAGTGATAACATTTGGGGAACTGTGATTTACAGACTGGCTTTCCATGTTGATCTAGTGCAGGTCAAGGAGATGGCTATCAGTCCTACCTGGAATGTATGTCAGATGATATTAATTAGTTACATTCCTGCTGGCTGAATCTTTCATATTATAAAATGGAGACATCTATTAGACACTTTTTAAGTTTTACAATTCTTATTTTATACCAAATATCTTTGAAACAAATAGAAATGTTCTGCCAGTGCTATTTGGACAGATTATTTGTTCTCTTAAATAGATCCACAGATTCAAGTTTCATTGCTTTATTTATGTTGATTCTTTTTTGTCCACATCAAAAACGTTACAATCTGTAAGGATTGTATGGGAAGAGATGGCTACCTGTGTTTAAGGAGGTAGGCTAGAACACTAGGTGAAGCCTTGTGAAAAGTTCTGTCTTCTCCCCACAGGTATTCTAGCATATATTATTTCAGGAAATTAGTGCTCTTTGACTTGATAAAATGAGTGAGCTATCTGTAAATGTTTAAGAAGATGTTTCTGTACTTCAGATAAATGTTAAACACATTGAAGTTATATAAAGTCCAATTGTTGTGGTAAGTAGTTTAAAAATAATTTCTCTTTAAAAATGAAATATATTCTTAAAAATAATAGTTATTTATCATATTCAATTTTTATCTTTCCTTAGTCTGTCAGGTCTGTAGTAATGTACTCTATTTCATTCTTGAGATCAGCACCATGTACACCCATTATATCTTAGTTGATTGCTAAACAAATTTTATCAATCTCTTTAGATATGCAGATTTTTTCATTTTTCCTTGTGTTTTCTGTTAAATGATCATTAATTTATCCGCTAAAATTTACTCTGAACTATTTTTTCCTGCTGTTCAATGTATTTTTCTGTTGGAAAATTCCTTGTATGGTAGCTTACCTAATGGAAATTAGTTCTTTCTTCTAGTACATTTATTCATGCTATAGATTTTTCTCAAATATTTACTACAAACTTTGTTAAAGTACACTTATTCAGTCAGCTATTTTTTTTCTTATTTGCTGAGCTTCCTCTTCATTTTACCTCTATATTGGTGATTCATCAATACCTGGATTTAAAAAAATATTTTTTTGTGGATTTCTGGCTTAACTTCTTGAAAGAACACATATCGCGTGATCACAATTATGTAAAATTTATTTAAACATTTATCAAACAGAACTTAGTCTATACTGAAAATAATGTATATTCTGTATTTATTCCACAAAGTATATGAGGAAAACACAAGTAGATCTAGACGGTTAATAATGCTTTTATATACTTATTATATTGTATCTATTTGCTTTTTTAATTGCTAGCAGAAGCAGGTAGACTGTTAAACTATGAATTTGTGTATTTCTCCTTCATATTGTGTCAGGTTTTATTTTATGTCTTTTGTTTCCATTTTTATACTGACATAGTTTGAAGTACTGTACTCCTCAACTGTTGAATACATTGCATTATGAAACGTCTCTGACTAGTACTGGTAAAAGTGTCACCCACAGTTTTTGATGTATGTGACATTTACCTTTGTATAGAGTAAAAATATTATAATGCATTTATAATTGAGAGATATTCATTACTCATTCTATGATTTAATGATGCGAATATATTAGGACACATATTTAAATATGTATATATATGTATATATATTACATATATATATATTAATTACATATATATATATATATATATATATCTCCCACACAGAATGCCATAGATCCCCGCTAGTCTGTCACTCTATTAGCATGTAAGTAGCACAGAGTTTTCAACTACTTGGCACAGATGCTTCTGCATTCATCCTGTGATGCATATTTAGTGATCAATATTTGAAATGTCTACAAAACCTGATATTCTACCTAATGCACTAAGAAGTCTATATGTTCCAAATACTGAACTTTCATTTGAGTCTTTATTAGTTAGTCCACAAAATTCTTTCTAATTGCTCTATTTCTTTCCATAGTAGACCTTTGACCCTATAATATTTCACAAATAGAAAAGTATTATAAATTCTTTAATCTAAGATCTTGATTGAATTCCATACATGTAATCACCTTTAGAAATGTTTAGACTTTTATATATTCATTGCTTCCAAAATATTTACTCTTTTTGAGATTTTTATTTAAAACATTTATTTATTGTGATGATCTCAGACTCAATGAATGTCCTTAGTTTGCTATTCTGAATGTCATGGCACAGTGTATGAATTGGATTGCTCTGCAGTGGTTAACAGTGACAGGAAGCCTCAGGAAGAAGAGAGTGTGGGACTGCTGCTGCTCCCTGGCATCATGATGATATCAATTATATGTATGAAAGATGAGTAAATATTCATATATATATATATATTTATACACATATATATGGAATTTTCTTATTTATT